GCCAGGGGTGCGCGGGCTCCTGGGCCGGGCGTGCCTGCTGCTGCTGCCGCCCTGCGCCCTGGTGCTGGCGGCGGTGCCCGGCTCCGCGTCCCACCCGCAGCCCTGCCAGATCCTGCGGCGCATCGGGCACACCGTCAGGGTGGGGGCCACCCACCTGCAGCCCCGCGGCCCCTCCGCCGCTTGGAGAGGGGAGGCGGCGGGCGGCGGCCCCGAGGGGGAGGTTGCGGCGGGGGCTCGGGGCCGCCGGCCGGGGGGCGGTGGGGAGCGGCAGCCGGGCCCCGCTCCCTCGCCGCGGGACGCGCTGCTGCTGGCCGTGGCTAACCTCAACGGCGTGGCCGGGCTGCTGCCCTACAACCTGTCCCTGGAAGTGGTGATGGCGATCGAGGCGGGGCTGGGCGACCTGCCCCTATTCCCCTTCTCTTCCCCCAGCGCTTCGTGGAGCAACGACCCCGTCTCCTTCCTGCAGAGCCTCTGCCACACCGTGGTGGTGCAGGGGGTCTCCGCCATCCTCGCCTTCCCGCAGAGCCGCGGGGAGATGCTGGAGCTGGACTTCGTCTCGGCGGCGCTGCGCATCCCCGTGGTCAGCATCGTACTGGGAGAGTTCCCCCGGCGGAGCCCGGTAAGGAGGTTGGGGGTGGGGAGGAGGGGGTGCAGCGCTATGCCCGCATCCCGGGAGCCCTGCGGGGTCGGGGCGCGGGGAGCGGTCCGGCATGGGGAACGCGCGGCGGTTTCGGGGCTGCCGGAGCCGTCCTGCACCCTCTCCCTCTTCCGGCGTTCTTTCCCAGTGGTGGCAGCGCACGAGCATCCTGTTCCCGCACAGGAGACGGCGACTCGGCGGTGAGAGCGAAGTTGAGAGCGCGGCGTGGTTTGCCGTGCGGAGTTGCAGGGCTGAGATTAGATAGCGGCTCTTGCGGTGCAGCCCGTGCGGTGTAAGAGGCGATCGATCCTCTGTAGAGGCTTAACTTGGCTTTTAGAGAAGCTTCCCACACCAAAAGAGGGTCGTTAGCGAAAAAGAGGGGGAGACGGGGGAGAGAGTAATGTTTTTATTTATTACTTTATGTATTTTTAGTGGTCGAAATGCTTTGCAGAGTTCCCGTGGGGTAGTATCTATGGACTGCTCACCCGGTGACAGTTTTCAGGGAAGCTCTTCGCTCTTGGCTTTTCATTGAGCATTTCTGTTACTTGTAGCTCATGCATCACTGCTAGTTTGATTTGTGGAGTATTGTAATGCTTACTTAAAACAGTAGAATGGCTAACTCTGTCTGCGTTTCATTGCGTAGCTGAAGTCATAGTATCAGAAGTCAGTGCCTAACTGCCTGAGGCACAATCTAAGGCAGCATCCCAGGAGTGCTGAATTTTCTGCCCTGCAGCGGTGGCATCCTTGTGTTATAAGCTCTGGGAAAAGGTGATGGTGGTTCAGTATGCTGCAAATGCAGGCTCAGTGCCATAAGTCACGTCCGGGCAAAGGAGTGGGAAGAAAACACACCCTTCTGTGCGGCCCACACGAGGGAAATTGTGGTAAGATGGCAGAAGCTGCCATTTAAGTAGCCAGGTGGAGCAGTTCCTTTAAGTAGAAGGAGATAGCACAACTTTGCACTCAGAATTTAATTAGAAAAAAAAAAAAAAAAAAAAAAAAAAAAGATTACCAACTGAATTTTCTTTGCAAAAGCAAATAGAAATCCCAGCCTGGATCAATATTTTCTGTATATTTTTTGGTATTAAGACTGTAACAGAAAGAGTAGGAAAAGAGCTAGTTTGTAATTGGAGGTGTGATCACTGTGTGCTGCTCTAAACTCTGCTCGTTTTCTCTTGCTTGGCAAGAAGGGTAGCGGGTTTCTCTACAGATTATGCATAAACTCAAGGGTGATCCATACTTCTGAATGCCACTTGTTCATATGTGCTTGATGCCAGTAGCACCCAAGTTAGCTGAGTGACACCAGCCTACCAGTTACATTCCCTATTGTACCTGAGCCAACAACCAAAGTTCCCTGAAGACCAGAGCCTGAACCATCTCATTGCTCTGTTAAAATCAGAATTATTTTCTCTTCCATGCCAGATGGGAGTAAGTTCATCTGGAGCTGCCTGAGGACACAGCATATGTTAAACGCATATCATGCAGGACAGCAGTCATTGTTCCTTTCACAGACTTCATGGTTCCTGCTTAACTTTCACGCTCTCCTCAGTGTGGAGCCAACTGTTTTCATTGGATAAATCTGTCCAAATCAGGACTTTGTTCCTAAGCAGACGTTTAAATGTCATTGTCGTCTATGACAGTGAAATCAATGCCTGACTTTAAATCAAATTTAAGTGCCGAGGAGATTCAGGTTTTTTTTTTTTCAGATCAGCTTAAAAAAAAATCACTCTTCAAGGTTTTGTGGATATTAAAAAAATCTAATCTGTATTTAAAGGCCAGTATATTTGGCCATATATTTAGTAATACAAATCTATTCATCTCCAAGATCGGCTTGGAGAGCCTGCACATCCTTCTGAATACTGCTTCATACTTATACTTAACAAACATCATTCAGAAGCTAACTCACCTCATGTGTTTCCCAGAGTTGCAAGATTTCCAGCACCATCTCAGACCTGGGAGAGGCAGAGCGGTTGACCTGGGCAGCTCTGATGGCTTATTGCCCCAGGCAGGAGTTTTGGCTGGCTGACTGCTTTGGCTACAGGCAGCATTAGAGCAGAAAGTTGTGGGTAGCATAGTGGTTAGGTGAGATAGGCTTTGCCACTAAATAGGCTGAGCAGCCAGTGTTTTAGAGGAGGAAAGAAATGAAAGGTGTTGAGGGCTGCAATCTCAGTCTTCCCCCAAGAGGGTGGTTGGGCCCTGGAACAGGCGCTGAGCTGCTGGAGTTCATGGATTGTTTGGACACCACTCAGACACTGGGGTTTGAATTTTGGGTGGAACGCTCTGGAGCCAGGAGTTGGACTCTGTGATCCTTGTGGTCACTTCCAGCTCTGGGTATTCTGTGACTGCGTTTCTGGTGTGGGAGCTGTCAGCCCTGAGAAGCCTCCCGTCCTGCTCTGCCTGGCAGAGCTCACTCTGCCTGTCTTCTCCTCACTCCTGCACAGCAGCATGGCCCCGGGCACGGCCTGCAGGCCTATGGCTTTCCATCCAGAATAGCAGTGAGCCCCCAGCGTGTTTGTCCTTGAAGTGCATTGCCTATCGCCTGTCCTGTTGGGAATGTTGCAGATGTGCGAACAAATATGACATATGCTAGGTGCTGTCCTAACAGCCCATCTTCAGTATTAGTTGGAGCTTTTGTTAGAATTGTTTTAAGGGAACAGCAAGGTCTAGTTTTCCAAGTTATGCCATGATGGGAACGTATAAATATAACACCTGTGCTGAACATCAACAGCCTTATTCCTTCATATGGAAGATTATAATAAGCAGATATTCATTGTAATTGAAAAGTACTTGGATTTTTGAGTAAGTCTTCTGTAACGTGGCACAAAGCAATACTTGAAATGAAGAGGAAGACTAGGATCTGGAACTGAAATTTATTTTAATAGCACTGGCTGTTGTCTTCATCACATGTGATGGTGTGCTTCAAACATGTGACATCAAGAGGAGGTACGCGGTGTCAGAGCTGGGCATCAGAAGCCAGCTGGATGATTAGTGCTTTTGAATGCTGTGTCTAAGCATCTTTTTAATGTCTGTTCTTCGTTAAATTCTTCTCTTCTGAAGCTAAGAGAATGACAAAGCTAACAGCGCTCCTCCACAACAATTAACAATGACTTGGCAACAACCATCACAGAGATACAGCATTGAGGTTTGTGTGTGTCAGAATACACACACAGCTTCAAGGGATGCTCTGCAGAATAAAATGTGACATATTTTTCTTTCGTTTTGATTTGTATATGTGATTTAGTGACTAACATAGACTGACAGTAAATCCAGACACTGTTGTGACCTGAAAAAAGCTGTTTACTTTTCTGAGTTTACTGTCAGTCCTGTAAATTTTCATACTTTCAGTAAGCAAAAATAACAATTTATCACCATCATTCAGCAAGCAGAAAACCACTGGATTCCTTTACACAAATTCAGATCACATTGAAGCTTTGACAGATCATTATTTTGGAAACGGCAGCTCACGAGCACTGATGTCATTAAGGCAGGACTTACCTTGTTAATTTTTTCATAACATACTACTTTTTCTTTTCAGTACTGCTAATGTCATTAGCTGTTTCTCCGGAGAGGAAATAGTGAACACGGCTAGGGAACAGGAGCCACAAATAAATGCAGTGATAACAGAGCTAGGAGTTTGGGAAGGATAGCCTGTAATTTTATTTTACAGGTGATAGTATCAGGAGCACAAGGGAGATAATGTTTGCAGCAGCTTTTGTCTGAACTTCAGAGCTAATGGACTATTTTCAGGGGGCTTCAGATAAATTGCTAACTGTAATGTCTTTTAACATTAGAAGGATTCTTTCCAGAGCAACAAAACAGAACAAAATAAATCTGAATCATCTTGGTTCCTTGGTTCCTGAAGTCCATACTTCATCTGGTTTCTGGAGTGACTGGAATTGCCAACACTTCTGATCACTGCTATGACTTCAGAAAGGGTAAAAAGAATACATAAATCTTGTGAAGAGTGTTAGTTTAAACAGTGAGTTTCCTGACAAATTAGCAATCTCATGCTCAGAGCAGAGGCTCTAAAAGAAAATGACCATTAGTATTTAACTTCAAAGGGATTAAGTTCTCTTTTGAAAATAAAAGGACCATGGGGGTGTGGAAGAGCTGTGCAGCTGATAGCGCAGGCACTTTTCCTCCTTCGAGCTATAATTGCATCAGAAAGTTATTTCTGATCTGCAGGGAAAAAAAAAAAAAAAAAAAAAAGAAGAAGAAAAGATATCTCATTGTCCAGGGGAGACTGCAAAACACATGCCTAGCTGCAGCTTCTCGTACTTCATACTATCATCTCTAATCTGACTTGTTCCACATGTTGGAGTTTGTACCACGTGCTGAACAGATGAGCAGTAAGTATGCAGTCATCCCTGTGATCACCAGTCCTCCTCACCTCGCTGCATAAATTGTGGCACACAGTGGCTGGGCACCTCAGGGGGGTTTGTGAGAGATGGAGTTGGATTCGTTGGTCCGTACAGGTCCCTTCCAGCTCCAGGTATTGTGATTCTATGAGGTTTCCTGGGGGAAAAAAAAGGAAACAAAATCTGGAAATGGCATGAAAACAAATGTTCAGTTGGTGTCAGGTGAAGGTCTCAGTGCTGTTCTGTTCTTAAAACTTCAGATATGCTATTAAGTGAAAGTCTTTTTACACTGCCTCCTAATGAAGTACCTCCTGTGGTCAGCTCTCCTAGAGCCATTAATTCTATCAAACACAAATTTCAGAGGTGTAATTCACATTTTGCTAGCAGTGTTGTTGTCGTAGTGCCATGAGTGAGATTTCTTTGTTGCAGCAACCCTCTGTTAAACTACAGCAGTGCCATGTTTGCTGACTGATCCCATTTCAGACAAGGTGACCTCTAGTACCTTTTGGGTGCTGCCATCTCCTGCCTCTCACTTGCCCCTCCTCCCTGGTATCCTACACTGTCCTCAGATTGTTACTTTAAGAACGGTTGAGAATGGTTTTTACCTGCGGCCCGGCATGTTGTGGA